GACCTTACCAGGGAGGCTTAAGAGTGTGACCCCCCTGTAATTGGAGCACACCCTCCGGTCCCCATTTTTAAACACTGTTTTGTGTTGATGAAGGAAACACAATGAATACATTGTAAGAAAATTGAACAAACAAATGTGTGTATATACACTTTTTAGTTATTTTATCTCTGTTCAAAAAACTCAATTCTATTCTAATCTTGTTGCTTATCTTTTTGTGGGCTAAATCTAATCAAGGGTATGACTGTGTGTGTGTGTGGTGGGGGGGTTTCTAGGCACCACCAAAATTTCCATTTTCCTCATGGGATGAACAGCAAACTGTTTTGAATCAGCTAAAATTAGAAATGACAGAGTCATTCAGAACAAACACTCTGAGTTATAAACAATGTGCAGCATCTTCACCTGAAACCTGAGCTCAAATTTTATTTGCCAGTCTTGGCCCAGCGTAGCTAAAACAGCTTTTATTTTGAAAAGCCGCTTCATCCGGAAGTCTCCCGGTCCTYTTCCTCCTCAGCTCCGTCCTCCTCCTGCGCTCCCTCTCAGACAAAAGTAGTGAGAGAGTAAGGGTTATGGTGGGAGGAGGACAGGCTCCTGTTGACGCTGACAGAAGAAGATGTCCGTGAACGAGGTCTACGTGTTCCGACCCTTCAAGCTAATCGCGCTGCTCTGCGTCTTCCTCGCGCTCTGTCTGGACGTGGTGGCTCTGCTGAGTCCAGCCTGGGTCACGGCAGACCACTTCTCCCAGTCCCTGTGGGAGTCCTGCTCCCAGTCCGGGTTCCGGCGGCCCACAGAGGAGGAGGAGGCGGAGGCTGCTCCGTGGAACTGCTTCTCCACCCTCACATCTGGTACGAACCGCTCTCTTTATCCAGTTTCTGGTCCCTTTTAAGGAACATTTTACACTAACACTGCTTGTTGTTGTTTTCATACTGGAGGGAGGGTGGGTCGTGTTGTTACAACTAGTGCAATTAAAAAGTGTTTTATTTATTTATTTATTTATTTATTTATTTATTTATTATTTAAATCAGTGGAGTGGGTCTGAAATGTTTTGTTCAACACTAAATTTCTCAGTATCTGAACACATTTAAATAGAAGAACACTGATAATGGATTCAAATGTTTTTCCTGAAAGCAAATGCTTTTATTACATTGTCATTGCTGATGTATGCACCTGCTGCAAAATAGTTGAATTAACTCTTTTGTTTGTTTGTTTGTTTGTTTTTAATATTAAACAATACAAAAATGAGCAAATCAAAATTTTCCCCCAGATTTCTGGCCCCTCTGACCAGGCAGTCAGTGTTTTTTATATATATATTTTTTAATTATTTATTTATTTGCTCAGTGGTCAGCAGATGATACATTAGGACTCTCTTGTGCTGCTGATAAATTTCCTGTCCATAATACCAAAAACATGATGTGGAGTCAAGACAAACAGATTTGGACTCTGCAAAAGAGTTATGAAAAATAGGAGCATATTACTTGTACAGCCATTTGAACATTCAGTTAACCAGAGCTGACCAAACTGATGTTTTGTTTGTTTTTTGTCTACTTGCTTAGCATATGTTTTTAACTAAATGATTACAGTATATGTTAGAAGAAACTGCATCTTCAGATGCTGAACAAGTAACTTAATGACAAATGTTTTTTTTTTTTTTTTTTGGCTCAGACTAGCTCTTAGCTTGTCAATCTGGTTTGAATCAAACTGTTTCTCTAAACCAAGTTTGGTCAAAGAGCTGTCTGCAGCAGGTAAGATACTGATTATACACAACCTTTCTGTGGAACCCTACTTCAGAAGTTTGAAGAGCCACATTGTAAGGTTTTACATGGTGTCATTTCTCATTTCAGGAGGAAGTGTCCCTCCTGTTTTCTCACTAATAAAGTAAAAGTAGCAGGTCTGAACTGTGACAGGATTCAGTGGGTTTAGCCCAGTGGTTCCCAAACTTTTTAATCTTCTGACCCACAAAATATTCATGGCAAAAACTTGTGACCCCAAATATTWCTGGTCTGAGTACACAAACTTTGTTAATAACCCTAAAACACAGGCTTTTTGACAATCTAAACAGCTTGTACACACATATAAATACTTTTTTATACTTATTTTGTGTTTTTGTAATAGTTATAGGGAAAATATTGCATCAGCAATTATTTTATTACCCTTTAAATTGATTTCTGGAGATTATCCAAGGTGTTTTATGACCCATAATTGGGTCCCAAGCCCAACTTTGGGAACCAAAGTGCAGTGGTTCCCAAACTTTTCAGCTTTTGACCCACAAAATAACAGTAGTAGAGACCTGTTCCCCCAGATATTTTTGGATGATAAACATTTGTATCAGGTCAACAAAACACGGGCATAGTAACAATATTTTTATACTACATTTATCCATTTTAAATACACTAACCTCACTCCTTTGTAACAACTAAGGCAAAATGTAATTTATTCCAAAAATCTTTTCAGGACCCCACCTTGATGTTTCGGGACCCCACTTTGGGTCCCGACCCCAACTTTG